CTAGATGTTTTGCATATAACACAATTATTGTTAAAGGCACAACCCAGGCAGAGGTCGTGTGAACGCTTCCCTTCGGTCTGTAGTATAGACCCCTAGAGGACAATCACAAATGTGGCGTTCCCGTGCACGGAAACCAACCGACAAGAGCGCTTGGGCCTTGCAAAGTAAGCTGCTGAAGCTGCAGATTTTTCTCTTATCAGGCTGTTGTCTGGCGCCTCTCATCTGTAGCGCTCTCTCGCCTCATACTCTCCTCTCCGCGCTTAGTCTCTCATTCCCTTAGCACAGCCGATTAGGAAGGTGAGTGAGCCCTTAACCTAAGCGTTTTCGACGGATTCTTTTCCTTTTTTTTACTGCCGGCCCATTTCGCACCATATGCATTCGTGTGCAAGAGCCACACCAATGTGATCCTGGGGCATGCCTTTAATGTTTTGTTAACACTATCAGCAGCACAACCCGCCACCATGCGAAATGGGTCAAGGTATCGCCTGAAGCGGAGTGTTTTGCCCAGAACTCACCATTCTTGTATAGTCGATTTTCAACATTAATTCCTTACCTAACAGATGCCACCCGACGTTGTGTTTCCGGACAAACTTTCACCTCAGGAATCACTGGTCCAAACAGTTTCGACTTCGTTGAAGCAGCCAGTGGTTCTCTTAAATCTCATTGCTACTTATCCGAGCAAAAAATACATCACCAAGACTGAGTAAAGGTTAACTACCTGTACTGCATGATGAACTTCCCTTCAACTGCTGATGCCGGTAGACTGACAAGATAGTCGAAAGCCATCAACAAATGGGCATACTAAAACATTTAAATAAATTTTAAAATAATTATGACAAGGGGTGCGGGTTCGAGTCCCGCCTGGGGCGAAAGTTTTGTTCACAACCCAGCATTCTTGTGAAACATTCGCAAGGCGAACTGCGGCCAAAAACAGCAGTTAACAAACAAAAACAAGTCAAAAATTATGACAAGATTGCAAAAATCCATGCACAGAAGAGTTCATTACTATGAACGCTTCAATGACCGAGGCAGGCGACAGCTGCAGGTTGCAGAAGTCACACGCCACACCCTCTCACAGCCACATCTGACCAAGCGATGAGGAACAGAGCGCTCTATTTCAGATCCTATCCTTTGACTTGGAATTATGCTTCACAGAGAGCTATGAGTTCAAATTGCTGAGGGAATAGTGATTGCTTGGGCATGCAGGTCATGAGCAATTTCTTTCATGAATGAGATAAAAGAAAAAGGGAAAGACAGGAAGAACGCATGGGATGATTGAGAAAGGAAAAGGTGGTCAGTATATGATTACAGTTCATTCATGGTTGACTTCTGTGCCAGAATTCAGAATCGAACCGATTACGAATCACAGACTAGCAAGGATAAATAGTATAAGGAACGGTCATATTTGAAAGGCAGATTTTACGATGAAAAGGTAGCTCATTGGAAATAAGGGTAGAGGTGGTCAGTGGAGCAGGGATGAAGAAGAAACCATGTGAAACGGCCCGAAACCCGAGAAATGGGACCCCTTCCTTGCCCGTTGATTTGCGCATTGATGCGACTCTCATCGCTGTGCCCTCTTCAACACTACGCTCTCTCTGCTATCTAATCACTCGCGTATAGACCTGCGGCGAGTGATAGATAGTCGGTGGGCGTTCCGCGCCAACTGCGCCAAAAGGAAGGCCATGTTAGATCGCCGGGGGCAAATCCTTCGATGCGAATTGTGTGTCAGCCCGCACCCTTAGGGGGTCCGCCTGTCTCTCCACTAGGTAAATTTTTCCTTTCATCGACCTTCGTTCTTATGGTGGAATCCTTCTTTAGATTAGTTTCCACCCTCCAGAATCCCGAAGAGACGGGATGGCTCAAAGATACGAATCGGTAAGAATTCAGGGGATAATTATGCCAAGTGCGTAATCCCCGCCTTAACACACAGAGTGAAGATTTCTTAACAAGAAGAATTTTCTTACGTTGACATTGTCGACAACAGCGAAGGAATTACATTGATGGCTTAAGATTATATTACGGGCTTTCGTAAGATGAAAAAAAGAAAAGCAATGAAGGCAAGAGGAGACAAGGGCGGTGACATTTCTTCCTCAAGATTAGTTTCGGAAATATTAGCCCTGCACTGACGTAATGTACTGTACATCTGCACCTCGTGATGGATGATGGGCCAAAATTATAGCAACCATGACACTATATCACTAAAAATATTAGCCTAATGAACATCAGCTTCAAAAAAGTGATGGCCACTAGCATTACAAAGCAAGCTAGGTTGGGTTCGAAACCTGATAACTATCAGAGGCCTTGAGATGAAGAGGGAAGGCGTGCACAGTGGCACATAGGTGAGACACGTCAAAATAATCCAAGCTTGTTTCGCCCTCCTCAGAAAACCAGACTTTTTCGGATTTTAGTTTGCCTTGAGTCAGGGTTGATCATGCAGAAAATCAAGCTGAATTTGATGGGGGATCACTAAGTAACAATTGTTGAGAGACTATGAACCCTGGGTTCCCTGACCTACCGAAACGTCCAAAGAATGTCGTTTTAATAACGAAAGGCATTGGATATATGCTTTCAGTAGGAAGAAGGCACTTTTTTCTCACACATCACATTACGCCCCAAAAGGAAGGGGAAAATGTAATGATTAGGAAAAAAGTGGGCTTGACCGCGCGCTCCCGCGGTTATCAGAATTTCGACCCACACTGGAGATTTCCAGAGTAAGAGGCAACAGAATCGGGAAAGAAACCATACCATCTCTTCAGTGATCTTCTCGTCCAGCTTCTTCTCAAGTTTTTCTCTACCCAGCCATTGAGTACCGCTTGTGTTTCTGAATGGAAATCGGTAACTGCGATAATATTCATGTAAGAAACTATTACTATTTTCGAGAACAAAACGTTGATGCGAAATTTTTTCTGATACTATTATTCATTAAACGGTAATCACATGATCAAGTTTACAAAAACAATATCTCAAAGTTAACTCGTGATGTAAAGGCGCTTATTGTCAGACGCTCTACATGATACTGTCTAGGGGTAGAGTGAAACCTGATGCTACAGGTAATGCAAAACGTAATGCTATAGTCCAGCTCATCAAATCTGACAAGAAATGTGTGCTACAACAAAAAAAAACGGAGAAAGAACAACTCTCATAACGCTTGTTTATCTAGCGCAAAGGATAAAGGATAAAGCATTTGCCGTTGATCAATCCCTTTTGGGATGCGGCACGCATTCTACTTCCATTTGTACATTCGTAGTGGCGTTTGAATGCGATGTGGCCTATACAATGACTTGCGGGGGCCAGCCGATGTACAAGTCAGTGTTTTTATCCTCCCAGACAAGTCTGGTACCATAATAACAACAAAAGCGAGCGCTTACACTGAATCCAGTTCGGTACCTTTGCTGCCCGATAACAAATGGTCATTGTAGAAGGAAGTGACGGTCCTGGTCTTTATACCAATGTCCTGCAACGATTTCAATGAGTTTGTCTTGACAAAATACGCTGCATTACTTATCTTCGAGTACTTGAGGAAAAAATCTTCTTCAGAAACAAAACTAGTCGAACAATTGCGATAGCGAGACTAAAGCATCAGATAACTCACTGACAGTAACTTATAGAACGTGGGATGGAGAGTGAAAAAGCGGCTGTCTTTTGGACGACCTTCTTCATCGAATGAAAAACGATGGAATCTAAGAGACGATTTCAGTTATCCGTGCCATACGAAATGTGAAACAAAGTAACAACATATTGCTTACTTAGGCATAATTTCATCCGGGGGACGCATAACCGGTCTGGCTTTCAGGTCAAACAGACCAGAAGGAAATAGATAGCTGATCGCTCTGGAAAACTCAGCTGATACAACAACAAATCAATTAAGACTGGTGCCTGAACTGGAAATACTCAAGAATTAGTGCAACTCATGAAACATACGTGTCTATATCTTCTTGCGTCATGGTATGTGGATCCAAGTTCATCATATTTGCCAAATGTCGACGGCCTAATTCGAAATCAGCTCTAAACAAAAAGCCTACTGATACCTCAAGTGATCTTCGTGGACTATGAGCAGCATACCTTTCCCGAGCCATCATGGCCACATGTTCTTTGCTGAGCTTGATATAAGTTTCCAAGGCTCTGCCAATTTTCTTCAGAGGTTTCTCTTCAGTAAAACTTGATGATGCTACTGACTCCGTGGAAAGCAGTCGTGCCGCACGAACGCTGGGTAACAGCGTCCGAAACATGGCTGAGATCTTCTGTGACTGCTGAAAAAGTATTTAGATTCTAAGAAATTCAATGGTTCCCATGGAACAAAGTTATTCTCGTTATATTCCTGCTTAACCATGCCCTACTTGTAGAACGAAAAGAATCGGAACAATATGGTTCCGGGGTGGGGGAGGGATCGTAGTTTTTTTTTTTTTGGATCCCTACTTTTATTGCTTTCTATTATATCTCGGGAATGTTAGCGATACTATTTTTATCTATTTTATTATTTATTATTTGATATAGGTGTTTTTATATTATAAAATTAGATGGTACTTTTTTTTTTTTTTTTTTTTTTTTTTTTTTTTTTTTTTTTTTTTTTTTTTTTTTTTTTTTTTTTTTTTTTTTTTTTTTTTTTTTTTTTTTTTTTTTTTTTTTTTTTTTTTCCCTGAGACGAGCTCCGGCCGTGCCCGCGGGACGCGGCCCGCACGCAGGAGGGGATGCGCAGAAGGGCGGTAGGAAGAGGCAGGCCCCCCCCCGCAAGGGGGCAACCGGCCGGGGAACGGTGCGAACGGAAGGCGGGAGCAGGGGGGGAGAGGAAGGGATTTTGGCGCGAGTGCTGGTAGTGCATCGGCCTGATCGCTCTAGGTCTGCTTTGTTTTTTGGCGGGGGGGAGCCGAGGGCTTATAGTATGAGTGGGGTTGGGCTGATGAGTTGTCGCAGTATGTATGTTCGTTTGTGTATAGGGTATTGTTTTGGTAGTTTTTTTTTATTGATCGAGGTGAGGCAAAGGCACGGGGGGGCGGAGGAAAAAAACACACGGAAAGACAGCCCGAAGAAAGGGGAGCGACAGGTCGGGAGCCGAAGAGGGAAGTGCGAGCGGACGGAACGGGTTGCGTGTAGTTGACAAGGGCGTTGTATTGGATCATATCTTTTTTGTTGTAATTTTTTTTTTTTTTTTAATTCAGAGTGTGAGAAGAGTCGAGTATGAAGTGTGTTTTTTTGTTTTAGCTGTTTGTCATAAATATGGCGTGCTGCTCCTTCTTCCATATGCGATTATTCGTGGGTAAGAACGTTTAGGAGGCTAAAGCGCAAAACGCAGGCAAGGGGCTGGTGCGGATAAATATAGACTAGTGGGAACAAAAGGGGCTGAAACGATGTGTGATTTGGCGTTGAAAAGGGTGATGGGTGTCATATTAGAAAGCGACGATGTTTGGGTGAGCGTTATAGAGCAGTATTCTGTGTGCGGGTACCCTTATTTTAATAAATTAAGTTTTTTTTTTTTTTTTTTTTTTTTTTTCTTTGGCAATTAGTGAATTAGGGTGACATATGTGTGGAGCAGTCTTCTAGAATAGTGTATTTATAAATGGTTTTATGTGATGCTGTAGGCTCGTCGATATTTTTATAGTTTCCTGCAATTATGTATTTGGTTTTTATTTTCTGCGTGTTTTTTGTAGTCTAATAATATATAATGTTATTTTGGGTGTGTCTGTTTTTTTTTCAAACTCCACCTAAAGGCAGAGTGGCAACTGGTTTTTTGGGGATGGGGTGTTGTGTAAATATATTTTATTGTTTTATGTTGGTACTAATTATTCTGTGTTTCGTGTGTTTGTTTTCGGGAAAAAGTTTGATTGCAAAGGCGGGGCGCGGGCACTGCCAGGATAATATATGGTGTTACAGCTATCAGAAAGGAAAACGTAAATGGTTTATGTGTTTATTTGTTTGTGTCTGTCTGTATTAATGCTCTCTATGATAGCTGCTTTGGGTCTTCTTAGAGAATATATTGTGGGCGGCTATATCGTTGCTTTTTTTTTTTTTTTTTTTTTTTTTTTTGTTACAATGTGTGTGTTGGATAGAAATTGTTTTTTTTTGGACTGTGTATCATAGCGATGGAACGGGGTTTTTTTTGGTTTGTTTTGTTGTTTGAGAGAAATATTATATCTGTTAAAATCTTGATGTATTATTATGTCGGAGATTGATATAGTATGTTTGTGATTGTTTGCCCTCTATAAGTTTGACAGTGTTCGTTTCTTTTTTTTCTTCGTTCGTTAGTATTTTTGGGTTTTTTTTCTGCTGCTCACAGAACACCGGGCGCAGTGTAGTCAAGCGTGGTATTGTGTCCGGAATTATTATTATATAATATCGTTACTGTTTGTTTTCTTTCTTTTTTTTTTTTTTTTTTTTTTTTTTTTTTTTATTTCGTTGTGTGGGGGTGCCTTCAACAAGTCCCAAAAAAAAATAGGTCCCAGAAGCTATTCCTTTTTCGTGTTATGTGATGTTGTTGTCTTGCCACCGCGTCCCTCTTCCAGCGGCTGTCTGTGGTGTGTTTCTTGTTGGTGGTTGGGGGTTGACACCTGCAGCGCTCAAGCGAACGCGACGACTTTCTGTTAGTGATCTGTTTTCTTGTCGTATAGCATACATTATAACGGACTTCACGTCTAGCACTCTTATTAACAAAAACAGGGGGTCGCAACTCGAGAGCTAGGGGGTCGCAAAAATCCCGAAAATGTTCGAACGTGACGGTTGACCCTGCCCCCCTCCTCGGAGGTCCATTGCGCCAAGAAATCAAACAGGTACATCAAACGAAATTCAGCAGGATACAAAGAAGGATTCTATCTACCACCGTTTTCGCACATGAACGACCAGGGGAATATGATAGCGGTCTTGACTAGCACTTATCCGACTTCACTGCCCAATGGATGAAGCTTCTTTGAGTATAAGCTGCTCAGGAAGAAGGATATATTGCCAAAAACACATAATAATTCAGTGATAAAAAATAAAAACTTGATGAAGGCGTGACCGCTGCAAAGGCATTTGAAGTGAATGACTAAATACAGTCAAGCATTGGAGCGCTGAATAAGCCAGGACACTGTAACTCAGGTCAGCTGTCCGTTCGAGCTACTCCAAGGGGTGTATTTGCGATTAAAGGGGTTCTATTTGAGATTAACGACCCTTTGGTATAGTGCGAACGGAGTTTTATTCTGTGGAAATTGAAGGAATCGCGGTCGCGGTGAGAGGTCGTTTTGACGAGCTTGATGGGATTTTTCACAGAGGAAGCTTGAAATAGGCGGAAAGCACCAGTGCTTGCCATTCCATCCATTCCATGAGAATATTTACCCCTGAGCCCCTGGGAAAGGGGACGAACCGTGAAGTGCGATCGTTGGCTCAACCGTGAAATTATTAGGGGTTCCAAACAGGTCCTAAGGGTCCAGGGCAATATTTAGAGGGATGATTCGACAATAATCCAGAAAGACGAGTGTTGCCAACGACTGAAAACAGTGGAGGTATTTGCCACAGGCTGCTTGATGGTGCTGGACTGAGTTTTACTTTGCTGCTACTGCTCCATTTCACAGGCTGTTATGAATATTCAGCTCCTTCCGAATGTCAGATTTAGCTAATGAGGACTAAACAGCCAACGCTGTCAAACCTCTTTCAAGAAATGCCTCGGATCGGTCTTGTGTACAACATTAAGGGAAACTTTTGGCAATCTGACTACCGAGAGGGGGTGGGTGAACGGGTTAACGGGAGAACTGAGTGTGGAACAAACAATGTTTGGATCAGCTATCTACTCCTAATGAATACATCAAAAGCATTAAACTGCATGCAGAAAGAGAAGTCAGTTCGGCCTGGAATGAATACAATCCAATCCCCTACCCCTACCCGCTCACTAAATGTGCCTCACTACCCGAATCCGCTAAATGTGTCTCCCTACCCGAATCCGAAAACGATCATTGTAGCTTGTAGACAAATGATACGAATCGTCGACAACGGTAAGTGAATACTTCAGAGCTCTGAAGAACCAACTGGAACAACTCAAATATTCGCGCTTAAATAAAACAAGTCAGTGGGACCATATGAGAAACTTTTGAACACGGCTTAATTCCATTTTGAAAAACCGTTGATTCCCTTATTTTTTAGTATGGATGCCAAAATAAATCAGACTAAAGCGAGATTGTGACTAAAAGTTTATTCCGACTTCGGTGCTATCGCACTCCCAAGGTGGATGTAATGTTTGGACGAGTATTTTTCCAAATGTCTTTTGTCCATCCAAGCTCCGAGGAAGGCGATGATCCCCAAAACTTCGGGCGAATAAAGTGTTATTCAGAATCTCGGTTGATTACGAGCTTGATTATAGTGGCATCTACCATGAAAAATAGATTTATTGAGAGTCTAACGCGAAGAATTTTTCTTGTTTTTCTTTTTTAACCCACTTCGAAAGAAACTCCGACGAGATTCAAGAAATAGATTTATTGAGAGTCTAACGCGAAGGATTTTTCTTGTTTTTCTTTTTTAACCCACTTCGAGAGAAGCTCCGACGAGATTCAAGAACCTTCAGAGGGGAGAGGCACAAAGGTTGATAAAGGACTGTATTTTAATCGGTACTATTTGTGAAAAGAGAAAAGCCAAGCCTAAGACTTCACCCTTTGAAGAACAGCCAACATTAAAAATCTCACGAGACCACTGAGATAATAAGGCTTTTCTGAACCATTTACAATGTATTCTTCAAAAACACCGATATAAGCTCTTCATTTTCTTCCGTAACACTATATGCATTCATAAATAACAACTAAAGTGAAGGCTTCAGGAATGATAACAAATGCGCCATAAGGCATGTCTAAATGTAAGTGCAGAGAAATGCTTAAAAATGTACTACAAAGAAGATACTGAAATGAAATCCTAGGCGTAAATAGATTAAGAGGTTTAATTGATATTAGGTATTTTGAAACACATCACATGATTCTTCACAATATTTCTGACCGAATAAGGACCTCGAATTTCTGAGTCATTCCTTAGCGATGATCCAAAATTAAACGTTTTTCGCACCAATAGGTAGGCAGTTATATAGTTCTCAGACATCTTAAAAGTGTACATGGTACAAAGAGAAACATAGCAACCCGAATCTTCCAAAAACCAAAACCCTGGATATCATCCTAGTCTCACTGGGTTATTGGTCATTGCTCTGGTACCAATCACTCGAAAGAGAATTATGAGCGCTCACATATAATAAAAAATAATGGAATACATACACGGGAATGCTCAAATCACAGAATACTTTTCATTGAGCAATTTCATATACCTTACAAATGTACAAGAGGAGGTGGTTGACCACCGGTCTCAATAAACTGAATCATATTCAGGAAGCGAGTCCTCTCTGGCATCAGACGAAACGAAATACAGTATCCGACCAGCTTTTCTGTCATAGACGCTGTTTTCTTATCAAGTATGGTCACATTATGCGCATTAGGTGCCTAAATCGGTGAATCACTTGGATCGTAGAAAAAATAAGCTGCAATATCTGCCAAAAACAAAAAATTCAGGGCATACCTTTCTGTTTGCGCTACATCCAGAATAGAAGACAGAGTCGGCTACGACCCACTCTTTCCACAACTTGTCATGTTTGCAAGCAGTGATCTGAAAAAATGGAGTGATGTGAGATTCTGTGTATCTCATAAAAACCCCTCCGCAACAGCGCGCGGCAGGCGCCGGTGCTTTCGGACAAACCTAGGGAGGCTTCGTTTACATTCATAAACCATACCTTGACACCGCCTTCCACAGAGACCTCATATGAATGGAACGTCTTCGAACCAGGTTCTGCTATTTTCACTTTACCGGTGTAGAACTCCTGAACTTACGGTATTCACCAGAATAAATAATACACAAAGAGGATAGTGATTTGCTCAAATTCATTTCAACCTAAAGAAATCGGTGACGTCAAAAACTCACAATTTCGTTACCATCATATGGCCAATTATCATGGTCAAAGAGGAGATATCCATCGGTGCACTGCCACGGCAACCAGTGGTCTAGCACAGAAACGGATAGCTTTTCAAAAGGCGGAAGTCGGCGTGACAAGGTGCCAGAGAGAATGACCTAAGTTAATAAAGCCATTTAAGTATACTGTCACAATCATGAACCGCTTCACATAGTTTATAAATATCATCGTTATGAAAAAAACTAGGAAATTGAACATTTTAGACACTACAATACACCAAAATCAAAAACGATACCTCAAAAATAGCATAGTTCCCATCTTGTGGTGCATCAAATCCTCTACGAGCAACCGCTTTGCGGCAAACTTCCTCGGCAGCAAGGTCTATTTTTACGTTAAACGGTCTATTCTCCCGTTCCCACACATGAATTGGAACCAGTAGTCCATCCGCTCGAGCCTTAAAACTTTGATTACGAACATGTCTCCTGAAACATAGAAACGCATAGCTAATGCATTTAAAATCACTTACAATATTGGGATTCGTAGTTTTGTTCATCTGCGCCTGTTCAACCATAGCACGACAGATTTCCTCACGGCTTGTGACCTTGAATTTAGCAATACTTCTTTATTTCGACTGAACTGAATCCACTTCACGTAATCCGTAACATACCTCAAAAATGACGTCATATCCATTTATCAAGTCGATTATGGCGCCGATTTGTCCAGCGGTATCCTCGTAACGTTTGTCTTCGTCATCGTTTATTTCGAACAAAGACGGTCCAAACACCTGCAAAACGCTTTTCAAGACTTGAGAGGAACTGAAAAAGAATTAGAAAAGATCTAAAAAGCATAAACTCTTGCAAGAATATTAAAAGGAAGGCAAGTACGCAGTCAAAAAAAAATACAAAAAAGGCGGAAGCAAACCTTTGCCACGTTCTCCACACTTGCTTTGTTCACATCTTGGTACTTGACAACTTCACTGAGATGCGCAATTAGCTTCCTCAGTGTGTGATAATGAACCGACGGCATCTGTTGCAGGACACGACGATATTCTTGGTATCGAATCGTGTTGTCAGCAGTTGAACGTGCCTCAACTAAATGTAACTTACAGTAAAATCGTTTGGAATAGACAATGACAATTAATTTTTGACTTAATTTTTTATTAATTTCAATTGTTAACTGCTGTTTTTGGCTTCAGCTGGCGTTACGAAAGTTACCATGTGACAGTTGTTGACCTTGGCAGCTTCTATCTGGCTTTATGACAAGAAGGTTGGGTTATGAGCAAAACTCTGCCTCAGGCGGGAATCGAACCCGCACCTAGATTCAGCGGAGAGTTAACAACTCAGCATGTTTGGGATAAATGGCAAGTTGCATTTAGCTATGTCTCAAGTGTTAGCCAGTGGGACTCAGCCACTATTGAAAAGGTTAAAAAAAATGGTGCAGCGACAGCAATGACTGCGATTATTGTGTTTTGCGATTCGAACGATGCTCACCAACAAGGTCCACTAAAACTTCTAGCAATATAGCTGTGAACTGCTTCTGCTCAACACCCATGACCATTTTGTGAACTCAGGACTTTCAGAGAACAATCGATTGGTGAGATAAGAACTGGACAGAATGCAAGTTTTTCAAATATTTAAAAACAAATTACCCAAGTTGAATATTTGCTTGTGAAGCGTAGGAGGGAAGAGTGGCGACTTCAACCGTCGGAAAAACTGCCGTAACACATCGGCAACTGCATAAACGGTCTCCTCTCCGGATAACACGATGTGCGTTTTGACCGGATCTATTAAGCACAGGAAATAGAATTCAAGCAAATATCAAGCTAGTAAGACAGAAATAAGCTCATGTTCCTCTGAGCTACCTGAAGCAGACACGAAAAACTAGAACGCATACCTTCTGTGAGCCCTTTGTAGATATCCTTGGCTTCTGTAATTTTGCCATTTCTTCTATAAATGCCCTCGGAGCGAATACCGTAAGCAGCAATGAAGCGAATGCACTTGTCGACCAGCTTAAAAAAGACATTACATGGCGAGATGTGAGAAAAAAGGATCAATTACATGGTAGGAGCGCTCAAGCTCAAGACCTAAGAAACAACTAACGATGGGAATATTATCTGCAGTCAGTCGATAATCTTCGAGAACCGTGGGTGCCATAGCGAGCGCCTCTTGAATAGCAGAATACCACTTCGTTGTAGCAAGATCGTCACAACACTCTAGGTACAGAGCACTGAAATTCAGTTCGAATTGAAACGAACGCACATGTGACATGTGGAACCAAAGCCACGTTGGATAGATTTAGGTAAAAACTAATAGCAGGAAACGAACCATCCTTCCAGAGAGATCAGGAACGGACCCTTTTGGTCTTTCTTTTTGCATTTTGGGCACCATTCTGTTTTATCGACGCGCTCCCGCAACAATAATACCTGTAATATAATTTGTTAAACTCCCTTATGGAAAGAAAACGACAACATTCGAAACGACGAATGAAAGCGGTATTTGTGTGCTTTCCGAGCAACCTTTTTTATTTGATCTCCAATGCAAAAGTTTCTAGTAAAAAGGTCGCCAGAACAGATGGAAGTCTGAGAGTAGCTGTATGGCGTGAACCATCCGGCCGAACACAATAATACTTCTTATCATAAACGGCAAACAGTAATACTTTTTAAGTAAACGGCAATCTACGCGCCCAAGTTGAAAAGCATCACTATGTTCGAAAGTACTACACGCTGTATTGCTAAGCGGATGGAGCAGGATCTTAAAATAAGGAAACTGGAGTGAAGGGGCAGAAATTCAGCGCAAAAGTAGCTCGAGCATAGGGGCAGTCTGAACTGACGTAGTGTTTGTAGAACGACAATGCAGCTGAATTTCGCTATTCTCACATGCCTCAGAGAAGCCTTTCAGGTGAAAATGTCCCTGATTCAACAGATTGTGGGGAAACTCGTTTCATTCAAACAACAAAGAAACCTCAGGAGCGCTTTTACGTACCATTTTCCGACCAGGAACAAGTCATGGCGCCCCAATCAATCGTTTACATCTTGTCGAATGAACCCTCCAATCCTAGAGCATTCTGAGAATTTAAATTTTCTTACCTTCCGAACATCTAATTCATAGATGTAGTCTGGTGAATCGAGCAGCACGTAGAACATAGTCCTTTCATGTAGCCCTGCCGCTGCGTACATCCATTCACTCGTTGCACCTAAAAAAAGTACAAGGCATAAACACGATCACTGGTGCCAAAACAATCAGTTTAGTTTCGAAAAAAATACCAAATAAGATAAAGGCTATTTGCTTAGCATTTCAACATTTCCAAAACGCGCCAGGTAAGCGCATTGGACCAAAACTGTAGTGCCTAAATGCGTGCTTAGTGTTAGCCTTCACATAGAAGGAATTGGGAAGGTCATTCGATGTTTTTATAAGAATTACAATACAAGGTTTAACTTGGGTGAGGTCGTTCCGAGATTTGTTCCCAGGTCAACGCGCACGGCATAGGCGCCACGGCTCAGTATGGTAAAATATGCCTTCCATGCCCTCAGTATTCACTGCTTAAAAATACAAAAACTAAAACTCCTTACTAAGGAACAATTACAACAAAGTAAGGTACCAGGGGCCTCTTTCAGAGGCGATAAGAGCAACGTCCAAATTTGATCAGACTACAACAGAAGAACAGCTAAGCGGGCTTGCAACATTGCAATAGAGCTCGGATACGCTTGAATTTGCGGAAGTTCGCTGTAATTTTATTCGTTCTAATGCGCGTTTCGACGTTTTCTTTCGCGTATTAAGCCGCCATATATTTATTTATTTATTTATTTATTTATTTATTTATTGAATTGCACATAGGTGTGCCATTAGCACTGGTGCGAGGTTAGTATGCCACCATTATTTTCTCCATGGAGTAGAACCCATGCAATTTCACACTTGCACCAATCTACATACACTATTTCTCAATAGAGCAATTCAATACAGAGCCTGAGAAATAGTACAGAAAGACTGGAAAAAATTTTTGAACTGGACGATCTAAAGGAAGAAGAAAAGATGCAAGCGAATGGTACCTTGACGCAACCAGAACGTTCCACAGGCATTGACCTCTTGCACACTTGACCGTAACAGCTCGTATTCCGACAACCAGCACTAAAATTACAACAAATCGCTGAAGCTCAATTTAGAAAATATAAGGAACGATATACTCAGCTTAATGTCCATAATAATCGAAGGTTCTTACCTCGCCAAGCAATAACATCCACGTTTCGACATCTTTCTCAGTAGTGAAAACCACCGACTTGGTCGCTTCTCTTTCATTGAGTCTTATAGTAATAGTACTCTCTTCTCGACAGATCAATTCGCATCCGAGCAGCGAGAATGGACCAGCCAGACAATCTTCCGTCTAAACAAAAAACTAGTCGTGAAAAAAAAATCATTCAAGCGACAATACCACCACAGCTCACCGTGTCGTCATCATGGAAACTAATCTTCATTGCTCTGAGGCGAGCATGTGCCTTTTTACGTTCCTTCTTGCCAGAATGAAGCAAAACGTCACCGAAGAAAGCCACAGTCGTTTTGTTGAATTGCTCACCCGCCTGGCTGTCGTTGTCCAAAGCAACTTCAATTAGTGATAATTAGCCAATCTTATAAACTAGAAGGAGGAAGGGAAGAAATAATCAGAAAAAAGTTTCGCTTTTACCAACCAAGTTCTACTGTACCCTCAGCAATCTCCGGAATTTCTGCGATTTCCACAACTTTTTCAAGCTCATCATACAAAACTGGTGGCGTCAAGCTGTCAACACTAGGTATAGCGCTCCTGCAAAAAAAAACAGGCTTCGCTTTCTGTGATTCAATACACAAGCTGGTAATGTACCTGCAAGGGGCGGGGGTATACCTCTCCTCAAAGTTACTTGGATGTGGCGAGGGGACCACATGGGGAACTGGAAGTGCTTTATCCAGCATGGGAAGAGATTTCTCCAACACAGGAAGAGGCTTCTCCAGCACAGAGTTCGGTAAGTCTGAAATAAGAACATTACAACCATTCCGAAAGAAAACCTGCATTCTGTGACAGCATTAACCACAACTTAACGTTATTAAGAGAAAACTTATGAACAGTTGAAGGTGAGACGTGGGGAAAGGAAGACGTTCCACATTTCCTGAGACCTCCCAAGTTCTATTCAGGTTCCCATTTCCACATTAGTGGGGTGAAAACCAGCAAATAACTGGCTAAAGCTTAATCACCACTTCCTCTCATAATGGTGTCTCAGAGACAATCACCAAATCATGCCCTGATGACAAACGACTTTGCAGTCAGCTGGAGCAAGGACTAATCTTCCCCCAAGCTTGTTCGTAAGCATATCCATTATTATTTCCGCAGTTTCCCAGTTTATCTTGTACTGCTGCCAAAAATTGCTGGGCCTACCACCAGGCGTCATTGGATTGGGGTACGTCGTCCATTCACAAGTCATCGCCAGAAACTATGACCAGGCAATGAAGTCCTCACAACTGGTCTCGTGCAGTGCCATGCTGTGGAAATAGTCCGACTGATCTCACCTGGAGCCATTCAGGAAATGAAGCGCTTTTCCAAACGGGTTTTTGCATGTTCTAGGGGACGCACATGCGCATGAAACTGAGGGTCATTTTCTCTGAGCGGCTATCTACACAAATGTAGAAGTTCCATTTTCTGAGAGAAGTTTTCTGCACTTTCCTGGCAAGCTCAAGGCCGCTCAAAAACATCAATTTTATGCGAGTGTGGTCCACTGCAACAGAAAGCCACTTTTTTGCATGTCGCAGCGCGAAACATCTTTCGCTGCGGGAAGCTCATCACTGCTGATAATGAGT